ATTACCCACTGGCCCGTGCTCGCTTTTAGTGTCGCAATATGACGTTGCGTGCTAATTTTCTGCCACCGTCGTCTGCGCAATTTGCGCTCATCCATGGGCGCACAGACGTGTTTCGGGCAGACAACGCACCGGTCATGTACCCTTGCACAACCCGTAAAAACTGTGTGACACGTACATGCGTCGCGTGGGATCGTATCACGTTTCGTGCCAGTCTTTGTGCCGTCTCAGATTGAGCACTATGCACATAGCTCTATGTGCGGCAACCAGAGAACCAGAAAAACCTACGCGGGTCGCGCCCCATGCCCTCCCCATGGCACGTCCGCGGGATGTTCGCGCGAACGTGCAATATCCTGAAACACCGTTTGCACAGTCCGCACCCCAGCGTTCCGGCTCCACGATTCCGACCCCGCAACCCGCGCACCATGTCCCCGCGTGCTCTCGCGATCGGGCTGGTGGCTTCACAGGACTGGCTTGCTGGGATGCATGCGGAAGCTGTTGAAACCATGCTGCAGGGGCACGGGATCGTATGCGAGAGCGCTCGGCACTTGCAGCTTCTCAAAACCAGCAGTGGGGCTGGCCGTGGCCACTCAATTGATGTGCGACGGCGGCTAAGATTTTGGCGTTGCTGGCGTTGCTCCTGCAGCTTATGCAACCTACGCCAACTTCATCGCGCTCAACTTGCTTTTTCCGAAGCTCGCCTCACATGTGGCCGCCCCACTCAGGATGATGGCCTCCATTAGGGGATGACTGTCGCAGCTATGCATGCCGCCCTAACATAAGCAGTCTTAACACATGAGGTCCTTTCTTAGCTACATTAGCCACACTACTGAGTCACGTAGTTAGCCCTGCATTTGCTGGCTACAAATCCCAAACCCGCGAACAAATCCGCTTGATCTTTGCTGGACCACGAGGACTTCTCGGTTTATACCAGCCCCCAGGAGCCCTCCCTCAAAGCTGTCACGTAGGGACAATGGAAAACAACATGGAAACTACTACAGTATTGGGGCCCATCCTCACTTATTACACTCAGCCACAGTTCCGAATCCTAAGGAATCCAATTGCTCCTGGCAATCACGCCCAACCCTGAAAAAGCGTGAACCCAAAACCTCAGCAAATCTGAGCGGTCAACTCTACTTGTCACTTATCCCTCAACCTTTCCCCGGGCCAAGGGCAAGGCCGTAACCGCCGGCGTCAGCACCGTAGGAAGCCTTGTCTTTGCGATTCAGGCCATGTGCATGACTTTCTGCGTTAGTTGAAAATCGGTTACCTTCATAAATAACACGAACAAGCTACTGTTTAGAGCCATGGTCTGTCGAATCAAGCTGAAACCATCTACATGTACTTGAGGATTCCGCTTGAGACGTATGCCACTTGAGGCGCGCTTGTTGGCGAACAGGTAGCAGTTGGAGCAGTTCAGCGTCTCTGCTATTGAAGCCAAGTGACATGATGCGCGGGGGTGGTCCCCATCTGGCCTGCCCGCTGCCACACGGCAGTTTCCACATGATCGTTTCCATGTTCTTTCCATTCTGCCTTTGTATCCCTATGGTAGTTTCCCAAAATAAGGGTACCCTAATATAGACTCCAATCTACTATAATCCTTATTATGGGGACCCCCAAAATGGTACCCCTGATTTTGGGAAACCCCTAATCCCTATAAACTACCCTATATACACCCAGTTTCCATTTCATTTTCCATTTTCTTTTCCATTTGATTCTCCATTATTGGGGATAATATCCCTATATCCCCTGACTCTTTGCCTGAGCCGTTGGAGCCCTCAGAGCCCCACCTGCACCCATCAGAGAGCTCCGCTGCAGCAAACTATGAAGCTGTTATTACTATGCTTACCTACTAGTATCATTATCATTATTACTGTGATGATTAAGCATTACTACTATTACTCCTCTACTTCTATTACTACTATTCTTATGAATTACCATTATTACAATTATTACTATTATTGCCACTAGTATTATTGTTATTATTATCACCTGATCTGCGCGCCTTTCGTCCCACTCGCCTTGTGGCCACTGACCCCAGCCTTGTCCTGGCCAGTGGCGTCAGCCCTTAAGGCTTCCCAGCAACATCTTGCTCAATGCTTTAATGGAAACAAAAAGAATTGTTGTACTTATAATACTCATCATAATGACAAAAAAATAATGGTGAGAATCATAATAGTAATAATAGTAGTAATAGTCGTAAGAATACTAGTAATAAGAATAAGAACAGTAAGAATAAGAGTAATCAGTAATAATAACACTTGCTCAATGCTCCTCGTTGGTCACTGCCATAGCCATGCCACTGCTCCTCTAGCAAGCAACAGGCGTTGATGGAGTTGGATCCAGCTCAATCTGAGACACCCCTGCTATGCCCACATCCCACATGGGCTGTTCTCAAAATTATGGGCCCCTTTTGGTTATAGATTGTATTACAACACCTAATCTGTAGAGTGCTACCAAAATGGGACCCTTGGGAACTACCCACATCCTGGCCGGCCGCTTGCTGACCCCACGCCATCGACCCGCCTGCAATTGACCGTCCGTGAGGGCGGCTCAAGGGAAGCAGGACAACTTAAAATGGCAGCTCCAATTCTGATTGGAATAATGGAGAATAAAATGGAAACTACTATAATGGGCTTATATAGCATAGGGTTTAGGATTTAGGCTTTAGGGAAGAGAAAATGGAAACTACTATTTAGGGTTGAGGATTACGTGCTAGATGGGGGCGACAGGTGAACACTCCGACGTAAAACAAAAAAACAGTAGTACACCACGTCTGGTCTCAAAATGCATGAATGAAACACATTGAAGCTCCCAAGAAGTTGGACCAAGGAACCTTTGCCGCGTGAGTCAAATCCATTTCCGGAGTTGCGATACTCCTCGTGGCCTGATCGGAATTTGAGGGCTGAGGGCTCAAGAGACGGTGTGTGCAAATCCAGTCGCTGTCTCTGACGCTGCGAAGTCATGCTTAGGTAGATAGAATATAGGGGTTATATTGGGGATATACAGGGGTTACATTGGGATAATGGAAAGTAAAAAGGAAACTACTACATTATGTACAGGTTATACTGCGCGGTTGCCCCAACTCTTGTCAATATGACAGCTCTTGATTCAGCGATTCAGCACTCGCCTGCGTGCATGGCCGCACCATAGTCTGCAGCCTACCATGCCAAGGCGGCTCTTGCTTTGCTAGGAAGCCTGCTGTTGGGATGACTGTTCTTGGGCTTCAAATTGTTGGACCTACGGGTGAAGCTACGAGGGCTTCAGGAGCTGATGAGGCATCGTTCGGGCCTGATGAGGACCCTGATGGAAAACAGCACCACTAGCAGCGCTGTGGCCATAGTCCCAGCTTTCTTGAGGCCAACTCTCATCTTGACCGTGTCCTGTCGTGGCACTTGGCAGTTTCAGATGAGAGTCTACTCCCCTTGCTCCTGTTTTTACAAGACGGATACTGTCAGTCTTTTCAAGTGTGCGGTGGCAGAAGCAAGGCATCGAAAAGGCGCCTTTCCCGAACTGGCCGTGACATGGAGGAGGAGGCGGCTGAGGAGGCTGAGGAGGCTGTGGAGGCTGTGGAGGTTGAGGAGGCTGAGGCGGCTGAGGAGGCTGAGGAGGCCCCCAATCAGTACCTGCCCAGTCTGCAAAGGATAGCTCTTGCCATGCTCAAAAGGCTGAGACATGGCACCTCTGGCTGCACCCCACTGCCCATGCCCATCGCCCTGCCAAGCAGAGCCATCGTGCCAACCTTTGGGTTTCTCAAAATAGTCAGTCCCGACCACACAAGGCTGGCACATTGAGGAGGCAACCTGCTTCGCACGCGCCCTTACCAGGTGTCCAGGCAGCATCAGGTGCCTTCCACACCATGATTGAGCGAGCTCATGTGTGCCCTTCGCTACGTGCACAAATGGCAGCCTGGCCAGGGAAAGCGCCTGTGCCAGGGCCTGCTTCATCAGGCGCATTCTCCAAGTACTTTTTTATTCGCAGCTGTCCGTGGCCCCTGCCCATACCCCCTGCCCAACAAGGAGCAGGAACTGGAGGAACCTGGTGGATTGCGGACGCTCTTGCGGAATTTGCTCCTCAAGCTTCCGTCTAGCCTGCCCTGGCCCTTGCATCGGTCTCAGATGAGGCCTGCAGTGATTTGGTTTCGCGAGAGACTGATCGCAGACAGCGTTGGGTGCGCTGCGGTGGTGCAGCATGCACTGGTCCAGCATGCGGCATCCCCATTCCAAAAGCAGGGCCTGTCGTGAGAGGGAACGCGTTTTTTGGAAATTGCAAGGCCGGTGAGCTTCCTCGCCTGCAGCTGCAGCCTCGTGGTTCAGGAACGAAACCTTGCTGCAAGATTCCTACATTCCGACCGCATCAAGCTGGAGCAGCCATGCTATTTCTGGGCTTATCAACTGCTCATCTAACCTCTTATGAAGAGTTCTGGTTTCGTGTGGACTGCTTGAAGACATATTCCTGACAGGGCACCACAAGCTCTCTTGCACGGGCCACACATTCTGGAAAGCCAACGATGACCACCTGCAGCACCGAATGCTTGACTAGCAAAGGCAGTATGAATAACCTGTCACAAAGGTGAGATGCTCCTGGATGACAAAATCCAACTCAACCTTTCTTGAACAAAGCACACGCAGGCGTTCCTTGTTTCCCATGCCAGGCGAAGGCTCTTTCACCTCTGTTCCACAGTATTCAGCTGCTGTCCACTGGGGTTCGCGAGGAAGTGGATGGGGTCAAGGCTTGAGCATGACCCAGACTCACAGCACAGTATGAACCGAGGTGATGGCAGCCAAGTAGGCGCCGCTCTGATCCTTCATGTTCGAGATGTTCTGGCCTGCAGGGACTGGGAATGCTGGAATATGAAGCAAATGGAAGCTTAAAATCATAAATGCCGGCCGCCACCGCCACGGCCGCAGGCACGGCCACAGCCACGGCCACCAAAGCTGCCAGCAGCAGCAGCAGCAGCAAGA